AAAGAAGCGAAAACTTAAAAAACCCGAAGGTTGGAACTGGTTACTACGAAAGGCAAGCTACAAAAAACTCCTTTTAAGGTTTTTCCCACACCCAAAAACCGACAAACCCAAAAAAGCTTAATTTTTTTTTTCTTTTCTCAAAAAAAAAAAAAAAAAAGAAAAGGAAAAAATAAAGGAAAAACAAGAAAATTCGCCAAAGAAGCGAATTCCCTCGTTTAACCTCAACAAGCGAGCATTTCCCCTCAGCTCAGACAAGAATCAACGGAGGGCCCTTCCGTCAAAACTCATCCTCACCTCGGTTCCACGACTCGCCTGCCTTCGACTTCAGTCGGTAATCAGCAAAACCTAAAAGAAAGTGAGTAAGGAACAACAACAACGCCACCCAAAGAAGAAAACTCACAAAAACGAACAAAAAAAAAATTTTCAAAGTTTCGGGCAAAGTTGAGGGCCTCGAAACGAGCATCGGAAAAACATTGGAATGGCTCGTTACCGACAACAAATCCAGCCTTTTATGCGATATTTTTCCGACAGTCACGGAAAACCGGTCCCAATAACCTTATACCCTACCCCAGGGTATTAGCAGAAACCCCTCAAAACCCCTACGAGCAAAACCTAAAAACCTAAGACTTAGCGAGTGCGATCGGATTACGTTAATTTTATCGCTACAACACACTATTTCAGTCTCAACGCAATTTCTGAGCTATCTCTCCCAAAACCCCACAAAACGGCATTTTTACACATCACGTGTATAACCCTATTCTTAAAGCCCGGGAGAGTGTGACGTCCGCAGCGCTACGACAATAGCGAGCGACCAATGCGACTTAAGTAATCGCAAAACTTCGGAATGCAATTGTGGTCGCTACAAAGGTCATACGAGGATCGCGTGACCTTATCTGCAGTCGCCCGATCACGGGCTATGTGACTGCATAATCACGTCACGCTTAGTCAGCGGACTAAGCCCGCTTCCTAGTTTTCTCCTATATAAACCTTAGTGTTAGCTCCCAAATAACCATCACTTGTTTTACAGAACATTCTTCGCTCGACCTTACAATACGTGCTAGTTGTTTCTTCGCATTCAGACTAGCGAAAAGATTCATCGCACTAGCGGAGACCGCTTGGTCGATAGTAAGAGCCATTATGTTAGGTAGGCTGTTGACTTCTTGATAATGGTTCATACCCTCCAGGGTGTGGCAGTACTGAAGACCTATTTTTTGTGCCCGCCTTATCATATCACGGCGAAGTGAGAGCAGTGGCTCTACCAAGACTGTAACCATGTTTGCATTTTCTTTTGCCTCAAGAAAGGCGGGTATCAGGAATAATAGAGACTTGCCAGAACCAGTCGGCTGGATGCAGAGTAAGTTTGACTTTCGCATGTATGCGAGTGAGCAGATATGTGCTTGTTCAGGTGATCGAAAAGCAGCTTTTGGTTGCTGCAATACTTGTCTCAGGCCCTGCAAGCATTGAATGACAACCGGGGCGGGAGCAGAGATTGGTGTCGTACGGAAGGAAAGCCGGTAAGACATGGGCTTACTAGTAGTGACACACTGTCTGTCTTCATAACGCAAAGCAGAAGACGTTGTAGGATGCTTCTCCTCTTTGTGTGAGACTTGAGAGCAAGGGCAATTACTCTACTATCCTCCTCAGAGTTACTACTAGGAGCATTAAGCTCCAAGCTTACGTCAATCTCTAGTAAGTCTTGCCAAAGCTTAGAGACGACTAAGGACTGCGTTAACAGATTGGAGGATCCGACTCCAGGCATTTCATCTGTTCTTCCGTAGACTATTGTTGCAGTCCTTCTTGTGTGTCCAGCTTGTAAGTCGAAAGCTGTGTTTTCATCGTCATACGCGGTCCCGTGCAAAAACCGTTCCTTAAGGTACATAGCTATATCATGATATGTAGACAATGTTATGATACGCTAAGGGACTTAGACGTATCAAACGAAAGTGGAAGTTTTAAGAACTTATACACTAGGAAATAGGAGAATAGAACTTGTCATATTAGTAGTTCCTATTCTAATATTTATATAATTATTGTTACTATTATTAGCAACAATGTGACTGCTCATTTCCCTTTAGAAAGTGTGACGTCGGCAACGCTACGGCCAATAGCGAGTGAGCAAAGTCGGAAAACGCCGACATTAAGTAACCGCCGAAATTTGCGGAGCAATTGTGGTCGCTACAAAGGTCATACGAGGATCGCGTATTCTTATTTGCAGTCGCGTAATTACGGGCTACATGAATACAATACTTAGAGTATACTTAGTCAGCGGAATAGGCCCCCTCACTCGTTTTTCTCTACTTAAACCTAAGCCCAATAACCATCATTATTTTCCAGAACATTCCTAGCTCGAACTTACAGAAAAGTTATGACATAACTGTAAGAGCTGCATGTCGAGAAGAAATACGGCCGCGAAGCAAGAATTGCAATTCGGGAAACGTTTTGTCCTAAGAACAAGATTCCACATAGTGTGAAAATAATGAAGTATTTCAGAAATGCATACAAAAGCATGCAAAGACACGTGTGCAGTATACAAGAGTCGAGATGCAGGATCAACAGAAACAGGATAGTAGTGCTCAGTGGTGCTCAGTAGCACTGGCTAGTACGGGCTATGGCCAGTAGCATAGCATAGCAGTAGCATAGCAGTGTCGCGCCTAAAGGGTTGTAGGCGCGGTACCGGGGTTATAGGGTTTTAGTCTTGGGCAACGAAAACAAAGAATAATCGATATCTCGACAACCAGACCAGCTACAGCCTTCGTTTCTGTTCCATAAATCATGCACGAGGCCATTGCACCTTGTGTGCTGAGTATGGCTGGTGTAAGCTGGCAGGGGAAGAAATAATTAATTATCATAAATGTGAACACAGCCAAGAATTATTATTAATATTATTATAATTACACAAAATAATACAAAATAATACAAAATAACTACGCCTAATACAAAATAACTACGCCTAGCAGAATGCGAATAAATTACGAAAAAAACAAAGAAAACAACCACAAAGCAATAGGCATAGGCATTGGCGTTGTATTGGCGTTCTGTGTGCTATTCTCTGTCCGGATGACCTGACGATCGCTAGCCCTCACTTAGTTATATTGTGAGCGACCGCAACGTCGCTAAACTACGAACAGAGGGCTGTACGACAGCCCGGAGCCTCGCTAGATTAGTTATGGAATAAAATCTTATTCTAGCTAATAATAAACCCTAGACTTGATGTAGGCACTGGCCACTGACAGTTAGTTAGTTGAACAACAAAATCAGTTATTCTAGTTAGTAACAATTATTGTCGCAACCCAGAAGGCGCGGTACTGTAGTCTTGTCTGAGTACCGCGCCAGTATCCACTAGAGCCCCTAGAGCCCCCACACATACGTAGCAGTGTGTTACTCTCAGCTACGGGTACCGCGCCACTACCCACCTGGGCCCCCGCAAAGCTATTCGCCATAGATTGTTACGAGTCTTAGTCCTAGGGTACCTCGCCACTGCCCACACAGTGCCCCCACAGAGGTTTAGTCGTAGTCTTAGTCTTAGTTCTAGTCCTAGAATAACAACAAACGAGGCGACAGAGCGATGCAAACAGCTGAGCGAAACAACTTCGTTTTCCTGCGAGATGGACAGACAACAACCCGTCGTCAGAGAAGTTGCAAATAAAAAGGAATGAGATTCTCGGCTGGATCCTCGGGTGAAGGGGAGGTGGGCAGGCAAGCAGGCGAGTAAATGCCACAGAAAACAGAGAAAGCAGGCCAATTGATGGAAAACACACATGACGCATGCACAGTAGGGCAACAGGAAATAAACAAAGTAAAAACAGAAGCGAAACTGCAGCATTCGTAAAAGCCGACAACGAATTTCAACGTAAGGCACATACTGCGTATACCCTAAGACTTACCTTAGCTCCCCGAGTCAAAGAACAGCCTACGAGTATTTCACGCAATGCAAAACAAAACAGAAAGCAAAGTGGGTAATTGGATTGTATGCGATACCGAGGGAGTTCCGAAACAGTAAAAGACACTGTTTTGTATGGGCTTTTGTGAAAAAAACCATAAGCAGTTTTCTGGGCGATTAAGTAATCGCAATTCTCGCCTAAGACAAAATACAGCACTGCCAACGGTTGAGAAGGCTCGCGAAGGCACGCGCTTGCAAATTAATTTACAGGCGTATCAAGCTAGCGATTCGGACGATTCATTTGTTGCGCCTAAGTACGGCCTGCGTGTAAGACGATGTAGCCATGCGACGTTTGATATAAGGATCTGCTTCGTAATTGTGTGTACAATGAATGGAGTGGAAGTTTAACACCGGCTTCTTGACGGAGTTACAGCGCTTCAAACATTTTCATTCGATTACGAAAGCGGGGTCTCGAGTATAGCATTGGTAGCGCACCTACAGGGCTGTAGGCGCGGTACCCAGTCCAAGGCATAACCCTACGCAAGTAGTAAGGAACACGGCAAGACAAAACAACAAGTATATAGGCATGTAGAATAGAACAACAGAAGAGTTTTGAAAGAAGAGACAGATGGTTTTATATATACTTTCGTAAAAGACAATTGAATTACTATACTAACTAATGGCTATGGCTTGTACCAAGGCATGTGCTATAACGCTGTATATGGGATATGCAGTGCAACCAGCACATACAACGTATACAATGTATGCAACGTATGCAAGACGCTGCTATACTACAAAAAGAGAACTAGGTTAGTGTGAAAGGTTACCATTTCTGTCTTTGGGAAAAGGCGTGCTGTTCTTGGGATACGGTTTGGTGAATGGTTAGTTAGTTTGTTAGTTTGTGTGTAATCTTAGTTTGTTAGTTTGTGTGTAATCTCAACAATGACAGCTCAAGCGAACAAAACAGTAACGAACAAGACAACTAGCAGACTCGCGAAAATGTTTATTGCTACGGAGAAACAAACACACAGAAAGGAAGGACACGACGAAGGCAAAGGTGGAATGCAAGGTTGTGAACGATACAGCATTCGCGACACGTGTGCAGTATACAAGAGTCGAGATGCAGGATCAACAGAAACAGGATAGTAGTGCTCAGTGGTGCAGGATAGTAGTGCTCAGTGGTGCTCAGTAGCACTGGCTAGTACGGGCTATGGCCAGTAGCATAGCATAGCAGTAGCATAGCAGTGTCGCGCCTAAAGGGTTGTAGGCGCGGTACCGGGGTTATAGGGTTTTAGTCTTGGGCAACGAAAACAAAGAATAATCGATATCTCGACAACCAGACCAGCTACAGCCTTCGTTTCTGTTCCATAAATCATGCACGAGGCCATTGCACCTTGTGTGCTGAGTATGGCTGGTGTAAGCTGGCAGGGGAAGAAATAATTAATTATCATAAATGTGAACACAGCCAAGAATTATTATTAATATTATTATTAATATTATTATTAATATTATTATAATTATACAAAATAATACAAAATAATACAAAATAACTACGCCTATAAATTACGAAAAAAACAAAGAAAACAACCACAAAGCAATAGGCATAGGCATTGGCGTTGTATTGGCGTTCTGTGTGCTATTCTCTGTCCGGATGACCTGACGATCGCTAGCCCTCACTTAGTTATATTGTGAGCGACCGCAACGTCGCTAAACTACGAACAGAGGGCTGTACGACAGCCCGGAGCCTCGCTAGATTAGTATGGAATAAATCTTATTCTAGCTAATATAAACCCTAGACTTGATGTAGGCACTGGCCACTGACAGTTAGTTAGTTGAACACAAAATCAGTTATTCTAGTTAGTAACAATTATTGTCGCAACCCAGAAGGCGCGGTACTGTAGTCTTGTCTGAGTACCGCGCCAGTATCCACTAGAGCCCCTAGAGCCCCACACATACGTAGCAGTGTGTTACTCTCAGCTACGGGTACCGCGCCACTACCCACCTGGGCCCCCGCAAGCTATTCGCCATAGATTGTTACGAGTCTTAGTCCTAGGGTACCTCGCCACTGCCCACACAGTGCCCCCACAGAGGTTTAGTCGTAGTCTTAGTCTTAGTTCTAGTCCTAGAATAACAACAAACGAGGCGACAGAGCGATGCAAACAGCTGAGCGAAACAACTTTCGTTTCCTGCGAGATGGACAGACAACAACCCGTCGTCAGAGAAGTTGCAAATAAAAAGGAATGAGATTCTCGGCTGGATCCTCGGGTGAAGGGGAGGGTGGGCAGGCAAGCAGGCGAGTAAATGCCACAGAAAAACAGAGAAAGCAGGCCAATTGATGGAAAAACAACACATGACGCATGCACAGTAGGGCAACAGGAAATAAACAAAGTAAAAAACAGAAGCGAAACTGCAGCATTCGTAAAAGCCGACAACGAATTTCAACGTAAGGCACATACTGCGTATACCCTAAGACTTACCTTAGCTCCCCGAGTCAAAGAAACAGCCTACGAGTATTTCACGCAATGCAAAACAAAACAGAAAGCAAAGTGGGTAATTGGATTGTATGCGATACCGAGGGAGTTCCGAAACAGTAAAAGACACTGTTTTGTATGGGCTTTTGTGAAAAAAACCATAAGCAGTTTTCTGGGCGATTAAGTAATCGCAATTCTCGCCTAAGACAAAATACAGCACTGCCAACGGTTGAGAAGGCTCGCGAAGGCACGCGCTTGCAAATTAATTTACAGGCGTATCAAGCTAGCGATTCGGACGATTCATTTGTGCGCCTAAGTACGGCCTGCGTGTAAGACGATGTAGCCATGCGACGTTTGATATAAGGATCTGCTTCGTAATTGTGTGTACAATGAATGGAGTGGAAGTTTAACACCGGCTTCTTGACGGAGTTACAGCGCTTCAAACATTTTCATTCGATTACGAAAGCGGGGTCTCGAGTATAGCATTGGTAGCGCACCTACAGGGCTGTAGGCGCGGTACCCAGTCCA